TTTCCCTAACAAAGAATCAAGAAGAGCAGCTTCTTCCTCCTGCAATCATCATAAGGAGAAAGTCAGTTTAGCATGCTTAACAAAAAAAGTAACCGCTAATCCCAAGAAAAGCAGTGACATACCACCAGGGCGTTAAACTCAGTCTCTTCGTCGATGGCACTAATTATAGCAGAATCCTCCAGCAGATCCTGTTTCCGAAAAGAGCCAAAGTTAAGAGTTGAGTCTAATAATGCTTGCAGGTTTTCTTTTGAACTAAACTATAAAATGCCGGTTATCAAGTTCCTCTCCTTTCTTTCTACATGTAAAGTCGGAAAATTTGTAAATGTTTCCTTCTCCCTCCAAAAGGAAAGAAGCAGAAAAAAACCATCGAGTGAACCTTTCACTCTACTCAAAATATTGATTCACAAGAAACAGAAATTTATTAGTGAATGAAAAGTGCCACAAGTACATGGAGGCTAAGGTGAAAATACCGCAGTCGAAGATCATGACAATTTATTTAAAGAATAGGAAAGAAGACTGTAGTAACTAGGAAGTTCCTTAACAAACATAAAAAGTAAATCTCCCACTAAACTAATTGAACTTCATGAAAGTTGTTCAACGTACACTCACTGTCGGAGAATAGTTGAAATGAGACTGAGCATCAAGAAAACCGGTTATTTACCAATAGAATTCTGGGAAAACCAGAGGGATTCCCTTACCAAAAGAGAGGGAGAAAAAGACTAAGCCTCTGGGTGAAGTACAAAAGTTGATTTACTCATTGACAAAGAAAAATACAAAAGATACTGCAGATTAAGAAAATCACAACTAAAGGGTTTTTAAGGCGAAAAATTGGATATATAAGTTGGGGAAAAGAGGCAGGTCGTTTCAAATTGTATTCATCAAAACCCTACTTCCATTATTTTTTAACACTTGACACGTAGCTCCTTTTATTCCAAGCTTAAATTAACTGAATAACTAACTCTTGACCATGACAGAACCAAAGGATCAAAGGAAGACAAATACCTAGTTGAAGATGGCTACCGTAAAACATGGGTATGAATGAAGATAGTTGTAAGATAGCTACCGTAAAACATGAGTATGAATTAAATTACTTACATCATCAGCAATTTGCAAGAGCCCGTTATTGTCCTGCAGAAAACAATTTCCAAGTATATTGAGGCTCCGCTATCAAGATATATCTAGAAACTGAAAATGTGGAAACTGACTTTTGACAGAACATCCAGAGATACTTTAATGCAATTCTCCATCAGAATGAACGATAGTTGAGTTGGGGATATGGGAAACAGAAGAAAGTCAGAAGATTACCTTTACAGCAACAAAAAGAAGAGGATCAGATGGTGTGTATATCATGTAATGTGCACCATCCTGCAAATAGAAGACTGACGATTAAAAAGAGAGAGGATAACTACCTAAAGTCAGAAAGCATAGAATAGATTGTCGTTCATAAAAAAATGTGTTTGTTTTGGTTTCTCAAAAAAATACTTGTTTGAAGGGTAGACATAATTGCGACGTATGTTAGCATCGTGACGCAACAATCAAAAATAAACTTCAAAAGCAATGGTATTCAACCAATAAAGCAAGCTAAATTGGTTCCCACCACTACCTTAGACAATAAAAAAACAGAGAACACGAGCATAAATTCAAATAACTCTTATTATACAATTGAAGGCACGCCTTTCAAAAACTCACACAAACGACAATGAACGTTCTGATGGTTCACAATATTGACATTTCCTGCCGGACGCTGAAATTTGTATATAACAAATTCGGAAAGTTAACTCATTAATTTGTGGCCAAAACATCTTCTAGGAAGCTAACCAGTTTTCTATTGTTCGGATGATATAGTTTAAAATGTCTTGAACTCCTTAAGATATCCTCAAAAGAAATAGTGCAATAAAAATAACCCTGAATTGATAAACCATCACGAGTCTACAATTAAGCATAATCAAAGGGCAAGGAAAGTCAAGACTCTTTGTCACTAACAATGTGGAGACTGAAAGACACTTTATTAAAGAAAAAATTGGAAAGCCACAAGTGTTTCTCATTTCACTTCCTTTTAGCAACTTGCTCACATCGTAACTAAAGGTTTTTCCTAGTAATATATTTCAACCTATTTTGATGAAGCTGAAAATGCAGAACATATTGGAGACAGCTTCAGGGAGAGTGTTGAAAAATTGAAAACTAATGTGCCTGGAATCAACTGCATCACAATTCGTGTCTCTTTCAGTGTCTTTTTTTTCTTTTCTTTTTTTCAAATCAGCTCTTGGTTGCAATTACACTAGTGTATTTACGTGAATTTTCTCAGTCAAAATAAACTGATTGTCTGATTTTGATTCGTAGGAGTAAAAATACATAATGTGCGTACAACAGTAGCACCATACGAAGAAATAATGATCAAGCGTGAATAGGACTGGGTATCCACTATATATAAAAGAGTATAAATGGATTCACTGTGCGTTTTGGTAGTCGAAAACGCATAGTTTCGGCATTTTCTTTTTTAACCTTTTCCTTTCTTTCTTTTCTTCCCTTTTGCAAATTTTTATACCATTTTTTTCCTCTTTTTCTCTTGCATTACTTTTTTTGCCCTTTTTAATGGCTCCATTTATCTACTATGGGGTAAAACCGCTAAAATCTTTATTTCTTTTTATCTCCGTCATTTTTGTGTTTTAACTTTTTTTTTTTCAACTCTATTTATCTACATTGTATGGCAACATGGGTTACGACACGCAACACGACACGAACATGATGACACGATTGGCACGAAATTGACTTGAATTGACTCAATCTATTGAACTTTTTATTTAAAATACATAAAAATATTGATGAATATTTTTTAACAAAAATTTATTTAATAGTTTTAGTTTAAATAACATGAAAAGTATAAGATTTATGACCTATATTAACAATTTAAAATATAAATAAATGGATTAAGTAAATCAACACTCAAATTGTTTATATTAACTGTAATAGTACAAATCTGACTGACATTTTCACTAAACGGGTGACACGTGAGTCCGCTCGAACACAAAACAAAAATTTGGGTCGACATGAACACGACCCAAATTGCCACCCCTAATTGTGTTTTACAAATGATTTTTTTTTTTTTTTTTTTGTATTTTTTTTTCTTTTTCGGTGCTTTATTTTCTTCCTTTATTTCTTTTGGCTTCATTATCTATTTTGCCGTAGTCTCTTACCCCCAATACTCTCGTACCTTTTTTGTTCCTATTTTATTTTCTCTACATTTGAACCGTATCGCTCTCTCATAGATTTTTTAAACCTCTAATCTCAACAATCCTCGTTGAAATAATCTCTTTGATTATGATCAATTATGACTTCAATTGCGGTTATTTGTGTATCGAGTTATTTTGTCGTTTCATTGTTTATTCCTTCCATGGGTATCGAGTTATTTGGCTGCGTGGGTATGTATCTCTACGCTTTTGGGTTTCTTTGAAGCGAATAACTAAATCAAAAATTTACTTATTAACAAAATATACAGTTTTAACTCTTTAATTAATAAACATCTATTTTCAGATTGAACTAATACAACAATTGAATGAAAGGGTTTCAAAATGATAAAGTAATAAAAAAGGTTTTGAGAAAAAAAAAAGTATATGAAATAAAAAGTCAAAATGTTTCACCAGTCCAATTTTTTTTTCCTTTTTATGGATCTATTTTTTTCTTTTATTATTTAATCCCTCATAAAACCCTAACTCATTATACTTTACTTGTGCTACATTCGGTCTAAAAATAGTAAATTTATTATCAAAAACTATTTGTGCAAATAACCTATTCATGTTAAATTTCCAAGTAAAATTTTTATTAATTCATTCTTTTTTATTGATTATCTATGTTATAAAAACGTCAATTACAATTTAATACGTGTAAATAACCTTTAAGGCATACTATTCACCATTCGTTATCTAATACACACCGTTTGGTGCTTTGCCTCTTATTTTGTTTCTTACTTTCACTTTGCCCCTCATTTTAAAAAATAAAAAAATAATAATAATAATAATATTTTTCATTTCTTTATAACTTCATTTTTATCTTTTATTTTGTTTCTTTCTATTTTAACTTTTTTCTTTCACTCTTTTTAACACCATTTTTTCACGAATATCTCTTACGAATAGAATTTTACTTTTTTTCTTTCCACTTTCGTTTTTTTCTCTTTTTAGCACCACTTGTCTACTATAGTCACTTATACTAATAATCTCCTAATTTTTCCTGTTTTGTTCCTCTTTTACTCTCCTTCTCTCTCTTAGATTTCTTGAACCTCAAATCTAAACTTTCTCATCAGAATAATCTTGTTTATTTTTTTATTTTGTTCTCTTATAATTTAGAATGTTTTATCAATTTAATCATATAAGCTTTTCACTTAGACTACTATTTATATCCTCTTTTTAAATTTCTTAGTAAACTTTTTTTTCTATATTTCTTTTTTGCATTCTACATCATTAAAATTTTAATTACAACTCCGTACGTGCATCACATGTAGCTAAACTAGTGTTCTCAAGAAGCATTGCCAAAAAGAATCTAATAGAATAGTAATTTTATTACCATATGGAAGCATGTAATTTCCACACCCTCAGTTGGTAAACCATCTACATCTTGACCATCATCTGCAGAGAACGTGAACAAACAAATGTTACATTAATAACCAAACTTGAAAGACCTTAGAGTGGATTCACGTTGAAGAACGGTAAGCAGTCCCCTTTTATTTTGGTTGTTGAAACAAATTTGTAAGCTTGTAGAGAACATCTTGTCCTCTAGTCCTGTAATCTATCGATTTACTTTCTTAAGCGTGGTTGTGTTTCTCACATATATATACACACGCACATATATACACACACGCACATATATATAACACCACTTTAACGGTTTGATGAACATAAAAATATTTAAAGAAATAGTAGAGGAAAAATTGAAAAGGACGTTGCCTGTGCGGAAGTCAAATACGTCATCCTCAGTGTAGCAAAACCCTCCTCGTGCTGTATAGCAGAACCTGGAAAAAGGGCACAAAAAGAACAATACATATAAGAACGATACATATGTTAGCATGTTTGAGGAAAAACCAGGACAAAACTGGGTTAATAAATTTCTAAGGCAAGTCAATCTACCAGCACCTACCCACTATGTACCAAATGCATGTGAATCTTCGCAAGGGCATAAGCAGCAGCAGGAAGAATTGCTTCCACTTCTTCATCACTTACCTAAAATGCAAAGACATGCAAGCTACAAGGATGAAGATTCTGAACATTGAAGAAAGGAACACGGAGAAAAGAACGTAGTCCTCTGAACACAATCTCATTGGCACATCGATTATAACAGCTTTGAAAATCTAGCAAGATCCTTATAGGATTCAGATATCTGTTGTACGAAAATCATATTTGTAGAGTACGATGAAACTGAAAAATAAGCAATAATCAGAAACAAAAGGCACACAATATACGAGAAATCCCCTCTCAACCTTTAGTATTCTCTCAATAAAGGAATACAAGTGTTTACAGACTTTGCAGGATCATCACATCCCCATGTCTCTGCACATAATCGTGAATATAAGCCAAAGAATCCAAATCTTGTTCCAACGTCTTTTTTTTCCCCTTAGTTTGCTGCTAAACTAAAGATCCAAACCAAATTTCCTTTCCAATCTGCCCTTGTTTGCTAATCAATCTGCCCTTGAACAACTAAATCTAAGCTCTTTATGACACAACTAAAAGCCTATCATTAAATCAAAAATTGAAAAAGTAACACTACATGATCGAATAGTGCTAGAGCTTCAAGTTGATATTAAAAAAAAATAAAAAAAATAAAAAAAGGTGTCACAAAACAACATATCCAGTGTGAAACTCATAAGTTAAATTAAATAAAAACAATAATAATAATAAAAGGTGCAACATGATAACATACAGCTGACCAGCCTTCAATATTTGTGCTCTTCAAAATCTGAACGGGCCTGTACCAAAATACTACACTTATTCAGTAAATCTCACAAAATTCCTAAGATCTTTATCTTATAATTAGATTAGAACATACATAGAAGAAAAGAATTTGACTTACGTATCAACAGGGCATAAAAGCATACACTCATCCCCTCTTGAGCTTCTGAAAACCCTCCTTATAACGCACTCCAATGGAAAATTATTCGTAGGATCCACCTGTTAGAGTTAGACAGACTTAGTAGTAAGTTGTAGACCGAACAAATTTCTCAAAATCTAAAAGCTCAAAATTACTGAAATGAAAGTGGAGGAACCGACAATGGTGGCGATTCGGTTGGTGGAAGCCATGAGAACCCTTCCCTCGTCATCCACCACAAATCCGGACGGCGGTTTAGGCATCGGTGTCGCGTAGTAACCCGACGACGGCGATGGCGATGGCGATGGCGATGGTCCGTCAACATCAAAATCAACGTCGACGCCGTGGGCGGAGCTCTCGACGATCTCAACATCGACGCCGTCGACAAGGGGGGGCTTGGGCTTTTTCTTGCGCTTCTTATTCGGCTTTTTCTCGAGCGGGCCAGTGGGGGACTTGGCGGCGGAGCAGAGGAGAGGGCGGCGGAAAAGAGACGAGGGCGGGGAGAGTGAGAGAGAGACTGGGAGACCGCGTAGATGATGGTGGTGATGGAGGAAAGAGAGGAAGACAGTGGAGTTGGGTTTTGTAGAGATTGAGAATGCCATGGTCGTCGTCTTAAGCTCTCTTTAAGCTCTACTTGTGTTGTGTTGGGATATTTGGTTTTATGGTTTTTCAGAATGTGAGGAAAAAAAATAGAGAATTTATACTCGTTTAGAATTAATTTTAAAATGATTTTATTTTTAATAAAAGGTAAAAATAATATTATTTTGAGAATTATTTTAAAATTATTTTTAATATTATATTTGGTTAATTTTTTAAAATGTTGTTTTGAGTATATAAAAAAATAAAATCGTGTTTATTAATTAACGTATTGGCCTCGTTCACTTTGCGGATTCGAGTTTTCAATTCGAGTTGAGATGTGACATTTTATAAGAGCTTTTTACTGTAGCAGAAAAAGTTAGATGTGATATTTTCTGAGAGCTTTTTACTGTAGAAACCTAAAACTGAAAACTCGAATCGGTGAAATGAACGAGGCCATTATAATATTGTTGATAGATGCTAAAAAAATTAAAACAGAAAATTAAAAATAACTTTCAATTCTTTTTTAATTCTTTTAAAAAAGTATTCTCATTGTTTTTATTTTTATTTTCGTTTTCAAAACATTTACTAAACAAACGTCGTTTTGTTTTCAAGAATGGTTCCAAACACGCACTATATTTGTACACGAGTCTAGACTTTTACTTTTAATAAATATTCTTTTATTAATGTAATTATTTAACTAAAAATTATAAATCAAGATACACATGTATTTTTAAGAGAGGTATGTGTCAAAATTAGGGTCGATAATATGGGTCGTGACACGATAACACGACAAGAATTTTACGAGTTAGGGTTGAAAAAAAAGAGGTTAGGGTCAAAATTATGTCGACTTGAAATTGACACGAAAAACACTGGTTAATTTCAGGTTGGACCCGCCTAACTCGAACACGACACGAAACTTGTAAAAAACTAAAAACTACATATATTTTTCATTACATATTTTAGATTTTATTATGAACTTGTGATATCATAATAGTTATACTCAAAATCGTATACTATTATTTGCTTAATTTTAATGGATGTTATTGTAATTTAGTGTGTTATGAATTTTAAATTATTTCTAATATGTAAAAAACTAAATAAAAGTATACAATTTCCGTGTCAATTTCGAGTTCACAGGTCAATTTCGTGTCACAAGTTATTTTCGTGTCATGTCATGTCAATCCATAAAGTGATCGTGTCGTGTTCGTGTTGCGGTTTTTAAAATTTCGTGTTACGGATCGTGTTCGGATTGACTATAAAATTAAAAAGAAACGATTAAAATATAACACGAATACAACACGTTATACGAATTGCCACCCCTAGTCAAAATTATCCAAAATGTGCATATGTTTGCCCATCTTTTGACGGGTTCGGGTGGATTAAAAAAAATGATTTCGTGATTCCATAACCCGTTACTTCCAACACACATATGTTACATTGCCTAGGAATTAAAAGAATAATAAAAAAATAAAAATAAAAAGAGATTTTAGTTTGAAATGCCAAAACCCCAGAACTTAAACCCAAACACTAAAATCTATTGGCACGTGAGCCAATTCGCCTTACCGATTGGTGAAATCCAACGACTGACATTAAATCTCAACAAGAGTTACATGGTATCACTCACACCGGATTGTAAAAAATAAAATTTAAAAAAAAAAACCGAAGAACAACAACACGGCTAGAAAGTAGAAGCAACCTTCAAATTCTATGAATTTTCCTTGCAATTAAAAATTTTAAAAATCTCATACAACTCAGAAAGCAACCTTCAAATTGTCAAATTTTCTTTCCTAACAATCCAAAATTTTAGAATCCCAGACAACCCAGAAACTACTCTTCAAATTATCAAAATTCCTAAACTGGTTGATTTGGAAACAAGCAAATCTAAAATATTCCTAAATTGGTGATCTGAAATCAAGAGAGAAAAAGTGTTTGGAATCATGGTCATCGTTTGCTCTAGTTTCTGAATAGTCAAGTGTTCTTTTAAAAGTTATTATTCCCTAACGACACAACTCGACACGAAATCGAACCCAGATTCCGGTAGATCTTGACTAACACTCTTCTACATCCTCTCTCTCAGTCCAACTTCCTCAGCGTCCTCTCTCTTCTTCGCTGAAAAAACTCCCGACAGTCGCATCTTGGCCCACGCAAGGCCGAAACCCAAATGAGGAGATCGACGGCGCCGCCAAGTTCACGGCCTCCGGACTAGGAGATCTCCCTTCCATCTTTCTCTCATCGTTGATCTGCTCCTTCTCTCTCTCATCGGACGAACGCCAGTCGTCACAAACGCCGTGGAGATGAAGAACTCCGTCGATGAAGCTCTCGTCTCTCACCTCCGGTGGTCAGCTTTGGTCTCACGCAATCTACTCCGGCCTCCTCGAATCCAACCTCCCCTCTTTAAGGCGGCGCGTATTCGCACCTCTCCCGTCGACAAGAGCTCTTGATCGTCCTCAACGAAGACACTTGTTTTTGAAGAATGCCAGGAGGTGAGTATTCCCGAGTATTCTTGGCATCGATTTCATCTTCTTCACATATCATACATTACAAAAATCCAAAGAATTCAAAGATATTTCACAGACAAAATCCCAAAGAAAACAAATTTCACTTAATCTCCCATTGCAAATCTGGTCTTCATTGGACATATTTCACGTAATTCATAAACAAAATACCAGGAAAAAAAAAAAAAAAAAAAAAACTTCCCGGTTACAGATCTAGACACTTGGAGAACTAATCAACTGAACGATCTTGTTGTTCTTCCTCAACTCCGGCAACATATGGGTGGAGAAGCACTATGAGAATTGTCTTCCCTTGCGGCGTCTCACATTTCGCGGTGAAGGTAATCATGGCAAAATCGCAGGGAAAATCCGACAATCGCAGTGCGGAGAGTGGGGTTGCCGGTGCGGTGGCGAGCGTCGTCTACGGTGTCCTCAACAGGACATTGCAACCCAAGTTCGTCGAGGATAATTCTCCGGCGGGAGAGGGGGTTAGGTCAATGGTGGAGGAGGGAGAGGTTGGGTCGATGAGGGAGAAGAAAAGGGATTTCTGATTGTTTCAATTCTTAGATATATTTTTTTTTTTTTTTTTTTTTGGAATAAATGAGCTTGTATTTCGCGCTTTTTACGAAATAAAGTGTTATATTATATGATAAATTTAAAATTTTTATAAATATATTTACACAAATATTTATAATATTATTATTTAAAATATATTTATAAGTATATATGCATTATAAAAGTAAAATACACTGCTATTATAATAAAACTTAACATGTTATATATAGAGAGCCACATCAAATTTTTGCTCAATATTTGATAAAAAAATCCTGCAAAAATAGACATATCAAAAACATAATTACTCAACAACAATTGTCTAGAATATGGAAAACCACCGCAAAACGTAGCCAATAAGCAACGGATAGTCATATATCAAATCCATGTTAAACAAAGTTGAGTAATAAGAAAAAACATGTGTCAAACCACAAAATTAATACGGTTAGATAGTAAAAGTCCTGAGAAAATGAAAAAGAAGAACAATTAATTAAGCTAATCGGCCAGAATGACAAAAGACAATAGACTAAAGAAAAATAGACATTTGTAAAATTCTAAAATGGATAAAAAAAACATTTCCAAATGCCTTTGCATGAAGAATTTGGGGAAAAAAAAACAAGTAAATACACAAATTTTATTGTTTTAGAACATAACGTCATAAAGAAAAAAACAAAAAAAATATCAATACAACAAAATTATACAGTTAAAAGAAAATTTTTTTCAAAAATTAAAAAAAAATGAATACCATATTAGTTAACAAATGACGAAATTAAGAAAACTCAAAACACCCAAACATATCAGAAGAGATAAACACAAACCATATTAGTAAACAAATGACGAAATGAAAAAAACCCATAACACCCAAAAATATTAGAGAAGAAGAAACAGTACAAAACGGAAAAATTAATGTCTAAACAGATTGGAAAGAAGAAAATGAAGAAACAAAAAACTATATGAAGACATAAATATTTATAAACCATCATAGTTTAGAAAATACCAAAACAACAAAACCCTAATCACCTAAAAGCATCAGAAGAAAACAAAAAGTAGAGAAAAAATTTTTTCCTTTCGAAACAAACGAAGAAACCAAAAACGAAAGAGAAGAAACAAGAAGAGCGAGAAAATTTGCTCCAGAATAGAAGGAAAAAAAGAAAACCGTAGAAGGTTATAGAAGACAGAAGATGAAAGCAAAGAGAATCAGAAAAGTAAAAGGAAATGAAACAATTGAGGAAATGAAGAAAAATAATTGAAGATGAAATAAAGGGCATTGTAGTAAATTAACATTCAAAACGACATTGGACCAACGTAGGAAGGGATATTGGGGGTAAAATGGGAAAAATATTGTTTATAGCACTGTAGCATGAATAGTAAAAGCAGTCATTTCCTTTAGTATATGTATAATGTTTAACAAGAAGATGTCATCTAAAAAAAATCTCAGGAAGATGTGATCAGGTGTGATAGGTTTCATTATAATTCTGTATTTTTTAAAATTTTACGGCTGTCGGATTCTGATCTGATGACCGTGAGTAAAATACCCTATCGATAGATTGAATTAGCTCATCCTATCATAGACATCCCCTAACTTTTAATTTAATTATAAAAGGTTGGATTGAAAACAAAATACAAACAAATATATTTTACAACCTATGACCCCATTCACTTCGCGGATTTAAGTTTTCAATTTGAGTTGAGATGTGACATTTTTTAAAAACTTTTAACTGTAATAGAAAAAGTTAAATGTGACATTTTCTGAGAGTTTTTAACTATAAAAACTTGAATTGAAAACTCAAATAATTAAAATGAACGAAATCAATATTTATTATGGGTAAGTCTGTGGTACATGATGTACTTCCCCTACCGGTGGGGTGTGTAATAATAGCCACAAGATCAAAATTTAAATGGTTCAAATTGAAGATGCGCATCAAAACTATTGTACACTATACTACACGTGATGACACCCGAATTAAATAAGCCAAAGAAAAAAAAAGACTCTTTTTCTTTGTTAGACTGCAATTCTTGAACCCAATGTTGAGTTAAAAAATTTCCCCCTTTTTTTATTGAAACAACAAATCAATTATAATAACTTGTAAAAATTAAAACTTTCTCCTCTAAGCATTGATTTGATTTTAAATCAATTTACCAAATAAAATGAAATTATATGATATTCTAATTGTCAAATCAGTGGTGCATTGGGATCTGGGTTAGCACTTGATCCTTTTTTATTATTTCTCATCTCAATCCATTTTGATTCTAAATCCATTATGGTTAGCACTCGAATACAAGTTATTTCTTATCTCAACCCATAATAAAGGATTTGGGTTAGCACTTGGTAGCCGAGAAACTTCCTAGGAAGAAAGAAAAATTTTTTGAGGAAGAGGAAAGGGCTGAGAGAGGACAGACAATGTTAACCCGGGCATCGGCCCTGGCAAGACGCACGACCGCGAATCCCTGTGGCGGCGACGGAGAACTCCCAAAGGCAGTACAAACTTTCCTCCCTGACGGCAACACAGACACAAAATCTTAATGACGGCATAACCTGCTTCTCCCTCAATGGTGTCGTGAAGCCACCTTCCCTCATCGCCCCCTCCCCCATGACGACTAGATCTACCCTCTCCATTTAAGCGATTTTCCCAAATGGTAGCACAAACCCAACCCTACCACGAATAAGTGACTTCCTCTGTCTTTACTGTATGTGAGCTCTAGAGTGTGGGGATCTGGGTAGGGCAAAACTAAGCTCGCCGGAGTTTGGGAGTCAAGGTGGCTGGTGTGTCGGCAGGTTGGGGGGACAACGATGATTTGTCGTTGGGGAATATTATTATCCAAATTCTTTTATGGCCCGTTTAGTTCGTTGATTCGAGTTTTTCATTCAAATTTAGATGTGACTTTATATGAGAGCTTTTGATTGTAGTAAAAAAGTTAGATGTGATTATTTTTAATAACTTTTTATTGTGTGTGTGTGTTTTTTTTTATAAAAAAAATATCTTTTAATGTGTTTAGACTATAATCTGGTGTGGGAGAGACCAAATACACCTTCATTGAGATTTGATATTGGCCCTTAGATGGTACCCTACCGGTAAGGGGAAAAACGCCCCCTACCATAGACATTGTCCTTTACTATTTAATTAACCTATTAATAATGCCTACCCTAATTACTATTAGCCTTATTATACTAAGTGTAGAATTTATTTTTTATTGGAACAAATAAATTTCAAATTTGACACTTTATCTTTAACTTTTTATTTATTTTATTGAAATGAACTATTTTTATCTTTATAAAATAATTTTCATAACTTATGTTTCTTATTTTATTCTTGAAATTTTGATCCCTAAACACTTTTGACGTATTATTTTATTTTTTATTTTTGATAGTTTTAGTCATTGAAAATAAATTAGCCAACAATTTTTGAAATATAACAGAGATAATCATGTGTACATAGTGTGATAACTCGAAATTTTAAAAAAACAAAATAAAGAAAGTTACCATAATATGTAAAATTTTCTCTTTACTACTGTTGAAACCTATTAAAAATGTAACATTTTGCACTATTCTAACTATTTATTAAAATTTTTTTGTTATTATATGAAAAGGATGTGATTCTGTACTTTAAATTTCAAAAGTTATCTGTTTATTTTAGTGTTAGCGGCTAAAATTGTCAAAAATTAAAAATTCTAAGACTAATATATCAAAATTAAAAATTTGAAGACAAAAATGTCACTATGCTCAATGTTTATGGACTAAAAACTCTAATTCTAATTATGATTAGCATTATTAAAATAGGTCTACAATTTAGTTTTTTAAAATTGAAAGCATAAATTTACTCAAAGGATAAAAAATAATTTGACAACACTCCATTCCAACTCTCGGCTTAACGTAAATGTATGAATGAGATTTGAAATGAATTTTATTTCAAATTCTGTAACTCAAGTGATAATTCTATAAAAAAAATAGAGTTATCTGACTATTTTTTTAGCATTAAAAAGTAGCTTAGAGCTTGTTTATTTCATATATTCAAATTAAAATAATCGATTCTGTAAAAATAAGAGGTTTTTAGTGAAAGAGAATTTCAGAAAGAGAGACCAATGAAGAAAGAGAATAGTCTGCCTGGCTAACAAAAACGCGTCTCCAGCCAGCCGGTCCCTAAAATACACCCATACACTCTACGTCGGTCAATCTACACGATGGTGGAGTCTGTGTTGGTGTTTTCTTCTCTTTTTTTAGTTGTTCGTGGATTAAAGGTAGTCATTTTGTCAGTGTTGGTGTTTCTTTTCGCCCAAAAATTGCTATATCTCTGTGGATTTATGTTGTTTTTAGTTGTGTTCCCCTACCAAGTTATAACCTTGTGTGGGTTTATGTTGTTGTTTTAATCTTCTATATGTCTTTAACCAGATCTCCCGCTTTGGCAAGTTTGTTCTGAAAGAATATTGGCTTTCAGAGATTAATCTTTAGAGAGAGTTTGCTACAACCTTTTTGGGAGAGCTAACTGTGGAGCGAGAATTAAACGAGCCAATAGAAGTGCTTCAACTTGTGTCCATTATTAGACCTTGAATCCATATACTAAGACGCCAATGGATCTACCGATTTTAATTTATTGTATCAAGTTTTTTGTATTGAGTTCTCTACAAGCTTCATAGTTTATTAATTAATGAAATGTTTTTTGCATTGAAAAATTATTAATTTTACTCTAATATTTTTCTCTCATAAAAAAATTTGAATTTCAAAGATTTAGGTAGACCTTTTGAAAGTTCTTGAGATTTTAACTTTTTTTTAGTATAACATCTTCTTTTATTTCTTTTGTTTTATGATTTTTCGGGCTTTACAATAGTAGTCATGAACTATTAATTAAAAAGGACCATCTATCTAATCCTTTATATGGTTCATTTTGAAGGGGATAAAACTTGAACATTTTGCAAATTATAAAGGATATTTTTGGGTTTTTAGAGAACAATAAGCTCGAAAAAGTGAAATTAGCTCAAAAAGTGTTTTGTTTGCAGATTATAAAGGATATTCATGTTATGTAGAGGCAGAGCAGTGTCAACAGTTAAGGGCGGGTGCGAGAGGAATGGCCGAATACGCGGCCGGTGGAGACGACGACGGCGAAGGAACTACTAGCCCCAGATGCAAGCGACGGCGTCTTCCCATTTTCGTCACCAACTCAACCCAAGAAAACCCAGAACCTCCACGAGAAGACGAGCGACACACGGACAGTGAAGATGATCAATGGGAGGAAGAGGGCGACCGGGCCCAACGGGTTAGCCAGGAGGGTCCTGTTTCCTCCGAGCCCGACAGGAATCGGTCCACAATTCCTGTTTTCAAGGTTTGTTCTTCCGCTTCTCTATCTGGGTTTTGAGTGCTATTGTGCTTTTGATGCTTTGAAAGTGTTTCCTTCACTTTAATTGTAAACTTAGGATCAATATTTGATGCTAATTGGGGCTATGTTTCTTTTTCCCAATCCAGTTATTATTATTATTATTATTATTATTATTATTATTATTATGATTGTTTAATTTGTGTAATGCGTAAATAAGAGATATGATACATGTGAAATTTTCGAGAGAGGATACAGTAACGACTGTAAGGCCATAACTCGTGTTTTTTCTTCTTTTTTGTTTTGTTTTTTTTTTTCTTTTTAATTCTATGAGGCTTGAAGTCCATTGTAATTAGTAGTGGCATTTACTTCCAAGTGGATTGAACAGATTTAGTGTTACATTTTGGCTAATCATATTTTTCGTACAGTTTGTTAGTTGGTAAATGAGATATCATAGAGCTTCAGTCCTATCATGTTGAAGTACTAGTTTCGGTGTAAGACCAAAAACTATCTTATCCTTTTGTAGAAGCATTACATGGTCTTATAATTGTGCCTTTACATATCAGTGAAAAAGGATCAAACCTTGTGATAGATATATACATAAACAGATATTTATTGTGCAAATGTCTTCATTTGATGTGAGGACGTATTTATGAACTACGTGTTCAGGTTAAGATAAGAGGGAAAAAATGAGAATCAGAGGCGGATATGTCTTTTTTATTTTTTATTTTCTTTTGATGATCAATTATAAGGATAGTAGATGTGAGGTTAAATTATTTTGAACCTACTTTTTATTTCTTTTGGAATTGGAGAGAAGTGGAGAAGCGCGGAGAGAAGTTAGAAAGCTATGTCTTGTCTTATTAATCACTGTTTGAGGGTACCGTTGACTAGAAAGACTTCTTGTTTTGACCCTGCATATCAAATAGACAGAGAAAAGTTCAAACATTCTGTTCTCCACTTCCCTTTTGTCTCTAGATATTCAATAGCTCTACTAATTTTCTACTAAATTTAATTTTTAACACGCTTTACGGATTTTCTTCGACCTGAGGTTTAGAAAGCAGAAATGATGAGTGTGTTCGTTGAAGAGGTTTTTAGTTTTACTTTATGGTGTGCCTCACCTTGTGTAGCAAAAGCTTGTACCGAGTTTAACAACCAAAAAGTATCTAGAGCTAACTTGTTGGCATGATAAATAAGATAATGAGTTTAAATTCTCATGGATGGTTTAGGCCCCGTTCATTTCACCGATTCGAGTTTTGCCACAGTTAAAAGTTCAGAAACAGTCACATCTAACTTTTTTGCTACAGTAAAAAGCTCTTACATAAAGTCACATCTCAACTCGAATTAAAAACTCGAATTAGCGAACTAAACAGGCCCTTCATTTGGCGCAACTAAGGGTTTTTGAGGATATATTCCTAAAATTATACTTGATGTTAATGTATGAAGGTTTCTTTTAGTGTCATGTAAATTGTAAGTTGTTGATTGGAGTGTGTGTTGTTTAGAATAGTTTGTATATATATATATATATATATATAAAATGCATAATGTATCAAGTAGGCATTTTTCAATATGTAGGTATTTCCTGAAAAAAAAAAGGAGGTAGGTCCATGTACTATTAAGTGAAAGGATTATATTTCATGTGCATATATGCTCGTGAGACAAGGGGGAAAAAAAAAAAAAAACTTGGTCGTCAAAAGCAAGTATACTACAATATACAAGGGCATGAAAATAGATATTTCTTTCCCCTATTAATAAAAGTAAAGCAAGAGTTTCAGAAAATGGAAAAAAAGAAAGAGTTTAAAAAAAGGCGGAGATCTTAGTGTTTAAATCTTGAAAAGCTGAAAGAACTTGCAGCCTTGCAGTTTCAAAAAGACTCTGTTTTAGCTTGAAGTCAATATAGGCTACAAAGCCATACAAGCAAGATTTTTTCCCCTTTTTATTCATTATCTTTTATATGAAGCCGAGCCAATAACTATGTATGGATTTGTTCTCTCTCTCTCTCTCTCATCAAACTCTCTTCTTTGTTTCATCCATGGTTTTTCTTTTTGAATTTTTTTATCAAGCAAATTATCTATCTCACTTCATCCCTCAATTCATGCTTGGATTCTATAATTCCTTTTATTCATAGATTTTTTTTTTGTTATGATCTTCTCTTTTCTTATATTGAACAAATATAAATGATTTACAATGTTCCATAAAATATAAACATTTAGGTGTCTGGTGAAGGGGATCTTCAAGTGGTGAAGGGAAATATTGAAAAGCATAATGTTTTAGAAGGGAAGAGGAGAAAGAAGACGAAACAAGTAACTACTCCTCGTCCTGCATGCTCATGGGTGTATTTTAGGTAAAAGTCAGTCTTTTAAGATCTGGTCCACGATGTAGTAGGTACACCTCTTGTGATTATCTTTTTCCTGCAATCTTAATCCTTCAAATCAACCGCTACAGCCGGGAGTTTATCAAGGAGTACAGTGCTTCCCATCCTGAGTCCTCTGGCCTAAAAGCTGTGAGCCTCTTCAATCATTTTATAAAGTATCATTATGTCATATTGTGTGTAATAAATTATTAAGAAGGTAATTAATCAAATATATATATATATATATATATATATATATATATATATGTCATATTATAGGCCACAAAAGCAGCGTCTGAAACTTGGAAGTCAATGAGTTTAGATGAAAAAGCAAAATTCACTACTCGTGCTCGTGAAGTGTGGGATAACTACTTGAGTGCAGCTCCCCCCCGTACGCCTAAACCAAGGAAACAGGTAACTTCTTCTCTGTAACAGTTGTTTGTTTCTGCATCGGATCAGATAAAAATTATAACTTCGGAAAAGCAGACTAAGCTGGTCACGAGATGCTCTCCTGGCCGCTTATTCAACGTGCTACAACACCTTACAGCTGAGCAAAAGGATGCAGTCAAGATCATGGGGTTTGGGAGCCTCCTCGGGCTTAGGTGTCGGACACTCCGCCGCAGTTTGTGTCTTTGGTTGTTGGAGAGATTTAACACTATGCAGCGTAGCTTGGAGATTTGCGGTGGACATATTCATTTATACCCAAAAGATGTGGAGCTTGTGATGGGATTAGCTGCTAGTGGAAAGGATGTTGTGAACTCGGGGCCAGATGACTTAATTGCAGACTTGAGGAATAATTATAATGCAACAAATCGTGGTATTTCAGTTCGTCTGCTAGAAGAAAGGTTGTCAGCTCCTGAAGCAGGAGATGATTTTAAGAGATCGTTTGTCCTATATGCATTGGGTACTCTCCTGTCTCCGACAGCAAGACTAGATGTTAGCCCTTCATTTCTTCACTTCTTAACAAATATGAGTGTCGTCCACCAGTACAACTGGGGGAAGTTCCTACTTGACCGGTTGGTTCGGGAGATATCACGGTTTCGTCAAGGGAAGCAACAAGCCGTTGGTGGCTGTCTTTTGTTTCTCCAGGTAATTTATTTAATGTCAGTTTCTTCCTACTGATGGCACCACTCCTTACTTGTGTATAACTTTTGATTTTTTCTCAGCTCTTTTATTATGAAAGAATTTCCATCGAAGGAACTCGTGATCTTTCTTCAGCTGTTTCTCCATGCTTATCTTCATGGGGGGAGGATGAGATTACAGAACGAGAAAAGCAAGAAAGAGAGCGTGGTGGTTATGGCTGCGGACAGGTACTTTATATTTTCAACATAGGAAGCTAAATTGTGCGTGTAAAATTGTCATTATCTTTGTTGCTGTGCAGGTGGTTTTCAAGGACAGGTGCCTTGGTGTGGAGACTTCTGAGGATAGACCACCCGCATGCAGTATAATCAATGGGGTTGAGCATGATCCCTTGCTTTTGCACAAGGCGAACCAGGTAGTCTTCAGACTCGTGACTTTTTCATTCTTTGGATGAATTCATGCTATTCATCTTATTGACAGTGCCACCAATGAAAAGCCTGTCATTGTCGAAACTGTTGTGTTATGCATAATCAGCCTTTTGAATCAACATAATGTTCATGGAGTAGGAGGCAAGAGAATAAATTCTTGCCAGCTGGTTCTTTTCATTTTATTGGATCAGAAGATATCACATTTGTGATTTTTTTTCCTGGTCGTAGAAGTTGCAGCATTTACCTTAATCTATTTCATGTTTGGATAGCTTTAGTCATCCAATGTGGATATACCTGAGAAGAAATTTATTTGGACAAAGCTCCATTACTAGTCTGTTTCCCAATTATACATTTCTTGAGCCGAAAATCCTGGAGAACTTATCTATCATAATAGTGAAACTTTGAAATTGCTTGTATAAGTATTGGGATTAAAGTTATTCACTTTCTTTTTCTTATTTCACCAGAGTATTATTTCGAAAGTATATTCTGATGGGCAGAGCTCTTTTGCATGTGAAAGTGCTTGTATTAAAGTTATTCACTTTCTTTTTCTTATTTCACCAGAGTATTATTTCTAAAGTATATTCTGATGGGCAGAGCTCTTTTGCATTTGGTTCTCTTGTCCAATATGTATTGCATTACTGAAGCTCAATTATGTGGATGGTTTTAGACATTTTCCCCACTCACCTTGCAACAAGAAAGAAAATTACTGCGTAGCGGGG